GGTTGCCCTCTAGTGGGAGTGTTGTGAATGACACCCACTAGCTCAGCCCTTATTGCTCTAGAAGCAGATGTTTTAGCTGGATAATGATCTCTCTAAATGTTTGAAACATTTTGAAGTATTTTTTTTTCTCTTTAAGATCACTGGGGTTTCTATCCTGAGAGCCGGGGAGACCATGGAGCAGGCCCTGACTGCCGTCTGTAAAGACATCCGGCTTGGAAAGATCCTCATTCAGACCAACCACGACACAGGAGAACCTGAGGTTGGTTGGTTTACAGCAGGAGCATCTTAACGCCTGCATGTTTGCCGCTTTAACGACCGACTCCTTCCTTCAGCTTCACTACCTTCGTCTGCCGAAGGAGATCAGCGAAGATTACGTCATCCTGATGGACAGCACCGTCTCCACTGGGGCTGCTGCTCTCATGGCCGTCAGAGTTCTGCTGGTGGGTCCAGTTTTAGTCCGTTTATCGGCTTATTTACCCCTTTGTGGAAATAAATTCTAATCTGGATCTTATTGTCCTCAAACTTCTAAAACAGATTATTTTCTGTTTTAAACAAAGTCCCTTCCGACACAGAGATAAATAGATCATAAGTTGTTTAAAGAATGGTGAAATGGGAGCCCAATGATGGCCAAACCTTTTAACTTTGGATCTTTTTAACTTTTCATTTTGTTGGAGTTTTTTAAACTAAACACAGCTCCTACAAAGTGGGTTGGTGTAAAGGTTACTAAGTGGAATTCATTCATTTGAACTTTGTTTTATATTCTTCCAGATCAGTACTTGAACTTTTTGCTGAAATAGTATTCCCATTTTTTCCTCATAGAAAAATTTTCAAATTTATGTGAAATTCCAAACTATAAAGACTTGCCTTTTATTAAAGTAATTAAAACATAAAGAAGTTTATTATTATATTTTCATTATTATATTTTCATTTTGCACTTTCAATCGTCTTTTGCTTTTTCCCTGTATTGATCCTCAAAGGAATTTAATTGTTTTTTTGTTTTTTTTTTCCTTTTCTTGTTCCCAATGTGAAGGACCACGATGTGCCCGAGGATAAGATCTTCCTGCTCTCGCTGCTCATGGCAGAAATGGGCGTCCACTCTGTTGCCTACGCTTTCCCCAAAGTCCGCATCATCACCACCGCTGTGGATAAGGAGGTGAACGACCAGTTCCACATCATTCCAGGAATCGGTGAGGAGTGGGAATCTTTTTCTACTTTGGCCCAATTCAACGTTTCCACAAATCAGACCCAAACTAATACTGCCTAAAAAGAAAAGTGGTGCAACGGTAGCGCGTCTGACTCCAGATCAGAAGGTTGCGGGTTCAAATCACGTCAGAGTCATTGTAAATGCCTAGATTGTAGGTAAGTTCTCTAGGAGTGTTGGCCTAGTGGTTAGAGAGAGCAGTGCGCTCGTGTACTAAGAAGGCTCCAAGTACCTGATTCGAGCGCCACAGCCTCCATTCTGGCTCTTTGAGCAAAACCCTTAACCCCACACTGCTCCCCAGGCGCCACATAATGGCAGAGAGTCAATTTCTCCATTATGAGATCAATAAAGTTCAATTTCTACCATTTCTTTCTTTCATTTCTTAAGTAATTTAACTTATTTATTCTACCGATGTTTGTTAAATTAAGTGGATTCTGATTCAAGTTCAGTAAAAACAAACTAACTGATTTCAATACAAACAGGAGGTCAGATTAGATTAGATAAGATAGACTTTATTGATCTCACAGTGGAAAAAAATCACTTATTACATTGGATCAATAGTCAACAAAAGGCGCCAAAAAGAGGAAAAGGTGCATTGAGTATATACTAGGGATGGAACAGTTTATGAAAACTGTCCAAACCGTTCGGTTCGGTTCACGTGTGTTGCGTTCGGTTCATGCGCTGCTCCTTTTTCTCATAGGCGAAGCGTT